GTCTTTCAGGGGCTATTAACTATAATGGAATATTCACTGATCACAGATTTTAATTACTATGTTATTGAAGAAAGAAGGAAATAGAAACAGAATAGGAGTACAGGACAAACCTAAACCATTCCGTAGGATGTAAATCAAATGTGTGAGATCTGGGCACAATAATATCAAAAGATCTCACACAGAGATGCACATTATTATTGGTTTTGCAACTGCAAGAAAAATGATAATTTGGAAAATTAGAACTTTCAAAACAAGAGATCTAAAGCCACTGATGATACTCTTTAGATCACTGGTTCTCTCTAGGGTGGAGTATTGCTGTTTACTAATTACCCCTTCAACAAGCACCTAAATTATTGGGAGTGCTGGAAGTCCTTAGAACTGTACTCCTTAAATTGTACACATGAAAGATAGTGGAAGGATTGGTCACCAAATCTGCACACCGAAATTACTACTATTGAATACAAAAGGCATGGAAAGCGGTGCAGCAGACCTCCAATGAGAAACAGAGGAGCGATGAGTACGCTGAGAACTCAGTAAATGTAAAGGGGCCACGACTCATCAACGCCCTACGTTCATGAAAATGGGGGTTTATTAAGCTAACCATTAGCTATCTTCAAAAGGTAGCACGACAGATTACTGAAAACAGTTCATGATTAGCTGCGTTTTGGGGCATACGTTGGCCTTCGGGGGCCATCGGCTTGATCAATCAGAGAAACAACGAGGAGGCCGGGTCTGGAACCGGGCCTCGGGGGCGACGACCTAGAAAAGTTGCTCCAGGTATCTCCAGGAATGTGAGTGGGTGAGGGAAGGTGGCTTGGGTATCTATTTGAGTCTGAATAGAGTTATTGTGGGCTGGTGAGTAGTGTTGCTGTGGGCTGATGAGTAGTGTTGCTGTGGGCTGGTGAGTAGTGTTGCTCTGGGCTAGTGAGTAGTGTTGTTGTGGGCTGGTGAGTAGTGTTGCTGTGGGCTGGTGAGTAGTGTTCTTGTAGGCTGGTGAGTAGTGTTGCTGTGGGCTGGTGAGAAGTGTTGCTGTGGGCTGGTAAGTAGTGTTGCTGTAGGCTGGTGAGTAGTGTTGCTGTGGGCTGGTGAGTAGTGTTGCTGTGGGCTGGTGAGTAGTGTTGGTGTGGGCTGGTGAGTCGTGTTCTTGTAGGCTGGTGAGTAGTGTTGCTGTGGGCTGGTGAGTAGTGTTGCTGAGGGCTGGTGAGTAGTGTTCTTGTAGGCTGGTGTGTAGTGTTGCTGAGGGCTGGTGAGAAGTGTTGCTGTGGGTTGGTGTGTAGTGTTGCTGTAGGCTGGTGAGTAGTGTTGCTGTGTGCTGGTGAGTATTGTTGCTGTGGGCTGATGAGTAGTGTTGCTGTGGGCTGGTGAGTAGTGTTCTTGTAGGATGGTGAGTAGTGTTGCTGTGGGCTGGTGAGTAGTGTTGCTGTGGGCTGGTGAGTATTGTTGTTGTAGGCTGGTGAGTAGTGTTGCTGTGGGCTGGTGAATAGTGTTGCTGTGGGCTGGTGAGTAGTGTAGCTGTGGGCTGGTGAGTAGTGTTGCTGTGGGCTGGTGAGTAGTGTTGCTGTGGGCTGGTGAGTAGTGTTGCTGTTGGCTGGTGAGTAGTGTTGCTGTGGGCTGGTGAGTAGTGTTGCTGTGGCTGGTGAGTAGTGTTGCTGTGGGCTGGAGAGTAGTTTTGTTGTGGGTTGGAGAGTAGTGTTGTTGTTGGCTGGTGAGTAGTGTTGTGGACGTATTTGTAGTGTCGTTCTGAGCTGGTGAACAGTGTTGTTGAGGTCTGGTGAGTAGTGTTGTTGTGGGCTGGTGTGTAGTGTTGTTGTAGGCTGTTGAGTAGTGTTATTGTGGGCTGGTGAATAGTGTAGTGTTGTTGTGTGGTGGTGAGTATTGTCGTTGTCCGCTGGTGAATAGCGTTCTTTTGGGCAGGTGAGTAATGCTGTTGTGGGCTTGTGAGTGGTGTTGTGGATTGGTGAGTAGTGTTGTGAGCTGGTGAGTAGTGTTGTGGGATGGTGAGTTGTGTTCAGGGATCGTGCGTAGTGTTGTGGGCTTGTGAGTACTATTGTGGGTTAGTGAGTAGAGTTGTGGGCTGGTGAGTTCTCTTGTGGGTTGGTGAGTAGTGTTGTTGTGGGCTGATGAGTAGTGTTGTGGGGGGTGTAGTGTTGTTCTGAGTGGTGAATAGTGTTTTTGTGGTCTGGTGAGTAGTGTTGCTGTGGGCTGGTGAGATGAGTTGTTGTTGGCTGGTGAGTAGTGTTGTTGTAGGCTGGTGAGTAGCGTTGTTATGGGCTGATGAGCAGTGCTATTGTGGGCTGGTGAGTAATGTTGTTGTGGGCTGGTGAGTAGTGTTGTTGTGGGCTAGTGAGTAGTGTTGCTGTAGGCTATTGAGTAGTATAATTGGCTGGTGAGTAGTGCTGTAGTGGGCTGTTGAGTAGTGTTGAAAGCTGGTGAGTAGTGGTGTTGTGGGCTGTTGAATAGTGTAGTTGGCTGATGAGTAGTGTTGTTGTGAGCTGGTGAGCATGGTTGTTGGGGGTATGGTGAGTAGTGTTGTGGGCTGATGAGTAGTGTTCTTGTGCACTGGTGAGTAGTGTTCTTGTGGGCTGGTCAGTAGTATTGTTGTGGGATGGTGAGTCGAGTTGTTGTCCGCTGGTGAGAAGTTGTTGTCTGCTGGCCATTAGTGTTGTTGTCCGCTGGTCATTAGTGTTGCTGTCCGCTGGTGAGAAGTGTTGTTGTGGGCTGGTGAGTAGTGTTGTTGTGGGCTGGAGAGTAGTGTTGTTGTGAGCTGGTGAGTGGTGGTGTTGGCTGGTCAGTAGTGTTCTTGTGGGTAGTTGAGTGGTGTCGTGGGTTGGTGAGTAGTGTTGTGAGCTGGTGAGCAGTGTTGTGGGTTGATGAGCAGTGTTGTGGACTGGTGATTAGTGTTGTGGGCTGGAGAGTAGTGTTGTGGGTTGGTGAGTTGTGTTGAGGGAACGTGAGTAGTGTTGTGCGCTTGTGAGTACTATTGTTAGTTGGTGAGTAGTGTTGTGGGCTGGTGAGTAGTGTTGTTGTGAGCTGGTCAGTAGTGTTGTGGGTTGGTGAGCAGTGTTGTGGGCTGGTGAGTAGTGTTGTGGGTTGGTGAGTGGCATTGTTTTGCTTGTGAGTAGCATTGTGGGCTGGTGAGCAGGGCTTTTGTGAGCTGGGTGAGTAGTGTTGCAGGTTGATGAGTAGTGTTGGTGGCTGGTGATTAGTGTTGTGAGGTGTTGAGTAGTGTTGTCGGCTGGTGATTAGTGTTTTGGGTTGGTGAGTAGTGTTGTGGGTTGATGAGTAGTGTTGTGGGCTGTTTAGTAGTGTTGTGGGCTGGTTAGTAGTGTTGCTGCTGTGTTTATTTTGCTCCCTTTACACCCAGGATAACAGGCCTTTGGGACTCCTGGGTTGTAATAATCTCTCTCTCTATATCTGATATGAGGATGAGGAACAGGATAGTGGCGAGTACAATGCCTTGTGGAACAGAGCTTTTCACTACTGCAACTTCCGATTTTATTCTATCACTACTCTTTATGTTCGATTTCCGGTTATCCCTTTGGCATGCATTTTGTGCGCTATTACACCATGATCAAAGGCTTTTGCAAAATCCGGTATACTATATCTACATTTTGTTTGTCTTCCAGTGCATCTAAGACCATATTATAGTGGTCCAGTAGTTGCGAGAGGCAGGAGCGACCTGCTCTGAACCTATGTTGCCCTGGATTGTGCAACTGTTGGGAATCCAAGTGGTTTGCAATCATGCTTCTTAGTATTTTTTCAAAAAATTTTATGATGTGGGACGGTAAAGCTATTGGTTCATAGGTCTTACCTATTGCTTTGTTGCCACCTTTATGGAGTGGGGCTATATCCGTTGTTTTTAGTAAATGTCTATGCTCTTTTTCCATAACATACTTAGGGCACGTGGACGGGGTATCTTAATGAACAGAGAGTTCCACGAGTCTGGGCCTGAGGCTGAGTGCATGGGCATGTTGTCAACAGTTTTTCCAAAGTCTAGTGGAGTTAGGATTATGTCAGAAATTTGGCATACATTGACAGGACTTTGAGGCTCATTCATGAAAAGCTCATTTTGAGTGTCGATCTTTAGACTGATCAGTGGCTCGCTGAGCACAGAGTCGTATTAAGATTTCAGTATCTCACTCATTTCTTTGTTGTCATCTGTGTAAATTCCTTCTTGTCTGAGCAAGGGCCCATACTAGATGTGGTTTTGTCCTTATTTTTGACATGTGAAAAGAAATATGTCGAATTCCTTTCAAATTCACTTATCACTTTTAACTCCTGTCTCTCTTGGATCCTATATGAGTCCTTTAACAGAAGCTCAGTACTTTCCACTTCCTTGGTTAGCCCTTCCTCCGTGTTTCAGATAATCTAGCGTTCTTGAAGAGCTCAGAAATTTTTCTTCTTCTTCTGTAGAGGGAGCGTCTCTCTGGTGAGTAGTATTGTGGGTTGGTGAGTATTGTTATTGTGGGTTGGTAAGTAGTGTTGTTGTGGGGTGGTGAGTAGTGTTGATGTAGGCTGGTGAGCAATATTGTTGTGGGTTGGTGAGTAATATTGTTGTAGGCTGGTGAGTAGTGTTGTTGTGGGTTGGTGAGTAGTGTTGTGGGCTGGTGAGTAGTGTTTGTTGTAGGCTGGTGAGCAGCGTTGTTGTGGGTTGGTGAGTAGTGTTGTTGTAGGCTGGTGAGTAGTGTTGTTGTGGGTTGTAAGTAGTGTTGTTGTGGGCTGGTGTGCAGTGTTGTTGTGGTCTGGTGAGTAGTGTTGTTTTGGGTTGGCAAGTAGTGTTGTTGTGGCCTGGTGAGTAGTGATTGTGAGAACGTAAATATTACTCCTTTGTGCTATGCTTCACGTTTCATTTAAATATGTTAAATGTTCATATTTAATTTATAAAATTTCTCGATTTCACATGATAAAATATCACAGTAGGGTGAAGAGTGCGTATGCACTAGTCAGGCATTAAGCAGGCACTGGGAGTGTGAGCAGGCAGGACAGTAGTGTCACTGTGCTGTGTATGAGGTGGAGTCATGGCTCGGCCGCTCCTTGGTCTACTACTAGTGCTCGTGGCCTGTTTTGCCTTACTTCCAGACACTATTGGTGGAAATAATGAAGCTTTCAATTTGACAGAAAATGTTATCCAGAATCAAATTGCTATAAAACAGATACTGGAGGAACAGACAGGCATAGGTGAAGGTAATTTCATACCTATACATTCATATGCTTAATAATTTGCAAATGGGAGAAATTATTTGCAAACATTATCTCTCAGTCCACAGCAGGATTCGAACCTTCGCACTCTGGGGTCTGGCTTTGTGGCAAAAAATACTGTGTATTTGTTGTTAGGTAAGACATACAACAGTTAGGTATCTTTATTTCGAAACGTTTCGCCTACACAGTAGGCTTCACCAGTCGAGTACAGAAGTTGGTAGAAGCAGAAGACATGTGAAGACAATGTAATCAGTCCATCACCCTTGAAGACGTACTTTTGAGGAGGTCAGTCCCTCAGTCCATAATCTGAAAGAATGTGAAGCTGCAGTGACCGTACGCAGACTATGTACTGTCCGGAGGTGAGATGTAGGCCACTGGTAGAAGTAAGAATGTAATCATTGAGAGGTCACGTCCCTCTCATATCCAACTATTTGTAGAAGCTGTCCAAGGTGTTTTGTTCTGTACCAAGATACCATTGTATTACAGTGTCTGACACAGTGAATAATAAAATGGTAGAAAATACCAACAGGTTGTTAGGTAAGACACATATACAACAGTTAGGCATCTTTATTCCGAAACGTTTCGCCTACACGGTAGGCTTCTTCAGTTGAGTACAGGAAAGTTGGTAGAAGCAGAAGAGTTGTGAAGACGATATAATCAGTCCATCACCCTTGAAGACGTAGTTTTGAGGCTGAGGAACTGACCACCTCAAAACTACGTGTTCAAGGATGATGGACTGATTACATCGTCTTCACATCTCTTCTGCTTCTACCAACTTTTCTGTACTCGATTGAAGACGTGAAACATTTTTATATAAAGAACCTAGGTGTTGCATATGTGTCTTAGCTAGCAACCTGTCGTTATTTTAAATCATTTCAATATTCATGCTGTATATTTTGATGCAGAGTGTGCAAGTTCGAATCCTGCTGTGGAGGGATTTTATATATATATATATATATATTATATATATATATATATATTATATATATATATATATATATATATATATATATATATATATATATATATAATATATACATACATATATACATATATATATATATATATATATATATATATATATATATTATATATATATATATATATATATATATATATATATATTTTATTCTAAGTGAACATTTATTAATAAACAAAATACATTTACAGAAAAAAACATAAACATGAATACAATGGCACAATGTATCAAAGATGATGAATTTCCTCCAGCTCCTCCGAGGCTGGACGTGAGCCAAGTATGCAGCAAGCATTTCCCCTCTGGATGGCGACGCTGAGGCGCTGGAACATGAAAGTGGCTGCCCTTGGGTCCCTGGTGGTGTCGATGAGTCTGGAACCCAATTCTTTAAGGAAACGTGTGGCATTTTTTTCCCCATGATCCCAAGGTCTCTGATCCCACTGGGACAAATTGATACTGTTGGCTAATGTCCCTGTACTTGCTGATATTCATATTCATATATATATATATATACATATTCATATATATATATATATATACATATTCATATATTATATATATATACTTTATTATATATATATTATATATATATATATATATATATATATATATATATATTATATATATATATATATATATTATATATATATATATATATATTATATATATGGAAAACAGAGATACAAGATGCAATTCTAGCACAGAAGGAGTTGAATAATAGCTATAGGCCTTTCGTGTTGCAATCAACATATCAGGAGCTGGAAAGTTGCAGAAATGAGTAAGAAATCTCAGTCGATTCATTCAGATTGACGCTTGGTAAGATTAATTATATTAGAGGCGGGAAACATACAGTGCCCCTAGCACACGAGTGCCTAGTACCAGACAATTTGAGTATAATAGAAATATAGGATAGTCAGCCCACAAGCATAGGTATTGGAGTCGTTAACTAGCAAAACTAAAATTGATGATATAACAGCTATCAAAATTATCAGTCAGACTTCAGGGCAACGTTAAGGACTTAGCATTCTGAATATAGATGTGCATGGTAATTGTCTTAGGGAAATTTTACACACTTATGGAAAATAGGAAAAATAGGCAAGCTCGCCTAATGAGTAGACTCACTGTCGAGCCTCAAAAGGGAAGACAATCCCCAAGCCCTAATTCCTTGGAGTGCAACCCAGACAGCTAAGAGAATCCAGAACATTCATATTAGAATTCGGTTTTACATTGTTCACGGTACCCTGAATTATGTATGTATTAGGCTTAAACAACCCACTACTACCATTGTATAATTAATATTTGTCGTGTTTAATATTTGCAGACTCATGAATATTTCTTTCTAGCCATGAAGTACATAGAACAATGACCTTTTCCTCAGTTCATTTAGCCAGATTATTACAAGCTCGTTTGTGGTTGAATATTGCATTTGATTCTTCAGAAGTCCTTACTGAATACTGATGTTGTGTAATTCTAACATTTAGAGGTTTGCCAGTTTGTCCCACATAGGATAAGTTGCAGCCTTGGCACCCAATCCTGTACACACCACCTACACAGCGTTTAGGGGAATTCTTGATTAACATGCTCTTTGCAGTCTGTGAAGATGTTTTTAAGAATAGAGTTTAATACCACCTTAATTATTATTTCTTTCAGGGATCAAGAGTTTACTGAGGAAAATTAATGCTCTATCACAACTATTCTCCACTAAAATTGCTGCTGATGAAAGATGTACACAAGGTAAATATCCTTGTTTCTGTATTTGTGTGTTAGCGTGTAGAAATACATTGGAATATTTAATAATACTTAGTTGTTAAATACCTCAAGAGAATTAACCAGTAATAGGATGAGATAATTATTCAACTATGTAGTAATCTGTGTGTCTGACGGTAGTGCCACTGTTATTATCAGATGGAAATGTCACTACTATTATTATCAGTCAGTTGTGTCAGCTTTTAGTCAGATGATAGTGTCAGTCCTCTCTGGCAGGGTATGAAGGGAGCGTTATTGTCTGTCAAGGATTTTTTTGAGTGTAAGTTGAGGCAGACTGTGCTGCTTGGTGGTGTCAGCCTATAGATAGTAAGGGTTGGTGGCGTCAGTATATAGAGAGTAAGTGTTGGTGGTGTTAGCTTATAGATAGTAAGGGTTGGTGGTATCAGCATATAGATAGCAAGGGTTGGTGGTGTCAGCATGTAGAATGTAAGGGTTAGTGGTGTCAGCATATAGATTGTAAGGGTTGATGGTGTCAGCATATAGATTGTAAGGGTTGGTGATGTCAGCATATAGACAGTATGTGTTGGTGGTGTCAGCATATAGATAGTAAGGGTTGGTGGTGTCAGCATGTAGATTTTAAGGGTTGGTGGTGTCAGCATATAGATTGTAAGGGTTGATGGTGTCAGCATATCGAGTGTAAGGGTTGATGGTGTCAGCATATAGATTGTAAGGGTTGGTGGTGTCAGCATATAGATAATACGTGTTGGTGGTGCCAGCATATAGATAGTAAGGGTTGGTGGTGTCAGCATGTAGATTTTAAGGTTTGGTGGTGTCAGCATGTAGATTGTGAGAGTTGGTGGTGTCAGCATGTAGATTGTGAGGGTTGGTGGTGTCAGCATGTACATTGTAAGTGTAAATGGTGTCAGCATGTATATTGTGAGGGTTGGTGCTGTCAGCATATATATATATTCGCCTTATAATGTCAACCGGAAGTGGCAAAGAAAGCATGAGGTCACCATTAACCTCAGGTATTTTCAGCTTGTAGTATTTTCAGTTTGTAGTTGGGGCGCTTAGTGTCAGCCAGAAATTTCTACTAGTGTAGTCAGTATCAGTAGGCAGAATCAGCTAGTTGTGACAACAGGCAGTGTCAGTGTTAGCAATTAATGTCAGCCAGTAAGGTAAACAGAAAATTTCACTGTTTACAAATATTGTCATTCAGTATTATCAACTGCAAACAGTGTCAGTTTAATCTTATATGTCAGCTATGCAGTGTCAGCTGTAAGTGGCAGAATGTAGAGTTACCTAGTAGTGTCAGCTGACAGTGTCGCTTTCAGAAGTTAGTTTCAGCTGAAAATGTTAACTGGTGCAGTCAGTTCATGCTATATTTGTTAGCATGAATTGACGCCACCATGATTTGACGCCCACTGACAAATACCAGACGTTGGTATTTGCCAGTGGGTGTCAAATTATGGTGCCAGGCTTCTTAGTCCACTGAGAGAATCAACTGTTTTGTGTTAGCAGGTAGTGTCAGGCCAGAGGGTAAATTAGTCCTGGAGAGTAAAGGAGAAGATGGGAAGGATGAGTAAGATGGGATGGGGTAGTAAAGTGGGAAGGGTGATAAGGGGAAGATTAGTGAGATGGGGAAGTTGGGAGAGTTGGGGAGGGTGAGTGAAGTAGAGATAATGAGAATAAGTAGTTGGTGGTGAAGGTAGGTAAGGAAGTTAGGGTAAATGAGATATGGAAGGGAAGTTTTGTGGGAGGATGAGAAGGGATAAATGAGTGAGATGGGAAAAGTGAGGGAGGTGGGAGGGATCGTGAACCATCCTAGTTTCAAATATTTCATTTGCATAGTTTTGGAGGAAAATAAATGTTCTATATTGATAGTTTCCAGTGACCAGTGTTGTCTGGGTAACAAATGTTACCGCTCAAGCGAAGTGTGTGTTTAGATTAATTACGAAGATAAAAGGAGGCCACATGAAACCAGTTTTATTACTGTAAAGCCATTCACAGCCAGTGAAGCAACCCAACTAGCGAAGTATTAAAAACATACTGGAAAGTTTTAAGCATAAATAGGAGTGAGTGAGTGAACAGTAGTGTAGGTGTAAGACATAATAAATTAACTGAGTAATGACCAGTCTCGATGACACAAACTTCTCGTAAGTCAAACTAAATGATCCAGTTGCCTTATCTTCTGGCAGCTACATGAATAAAATGAAATAAAAGCAGAAATATACCTCATCGGTAAAAATGAACAAAGATAATCTGGAATGAGCGTGAAATGTGAAATAGGTGAAATAAACCGCGTGTGCACTGCATGTCTGTGTAATGTAGATAATGTAAAGTATATATTGACAAAGTGTTCCAGTACAAACCACAGTATTATAGGTCTCCAGAGAATATATGTCAAAAATTTTAGCCAAAGTATTATGCAAGTTAAATTGTTTATAAGAGTACCTTACAAGATGCCAGTGCCATCACTGAATGGGAGACTCTTGCTGCTCCAGCACCAAAACCTAGTGCAGCACTGGCCTACAGTCAAGCTGGGATGGCCCCATCGCTGAAAAGGTGCTTTCCAACATGCTTAGGGCTGTAACGAACAGAAAGGGAGACTGCCCATCTCCAAGCTGTGAGTGGACTTATTCCGAGGACTTATTCCAAACAGTTCTGCGCCTTGCTGCCCGAATTCACACAAAATATACGTGTATTTGCGGCGAAGCACAAGCCGACCAATATGGTCTACATGGTCTTAACTGTTCCAAAACCAAGGGTTGGCATGCAAGGCACAATGAGGTCAACGACATCATAAAGAGAACACTTGCTACAGCTGGATGCCAGCCGAGAGGAAGCCCCGATCACTAGCAGCCAACAATACCCACAACCCAGCACACTGCCCCAATGAGATCACTATCTGTCCTTGGAAGAATAGCAAACTCCTAGCATGGGAATATACCTGTGTGTCGACGCTAGCTGATACCTATATCCATCACAGTGTGAGGCGACAGGGAGGAGCTGCTGACCACAGGGAGGAGTACAAGATCGGCAAGTACAGGGACATAAGTCAACATTATCAATTTGTCCCAGTGGGATCAGAGACCTTGGGATCATGGGGAAAACATGTCAAACGTTTCCTTAAAGAACTGGGTTCCAGACTCATCAACACCACCAGGGATCCAAGAGCATCCAGAGCCTCAGCGTGGCCATCCAGAAGGAAAATGCTTGCTGCACACTGGGCTCGTGTCCGGCTTCGGAGGAGATGGAGGATATTCATAACCTTTTATATATTGTACCAATGTATTCATGTTTGTGTTTTCTGTCAATGTATTTTGTCTATTAATAATGTTAACATGTAATATGAAATATAGAGGATGGTAGGGGAAGAAAATATTCAAACAATTATATTTTTTTTTATTATTTATTATCACACTGGCCGATTCCCACCAAGGCAGGGTGGCCCGAAAAAGAAAAACTTTCACCATCATTCACTCCATCACTGTCTTGCCAGAAGGGTGCTTTACACTACAGTTTTTAAACTGCAACATTAACACCCCTCCTTCAGAGTGCAGGCACTGTACTTCCCATCTCCAGGACTCAAGTCCGGCCTGCCGGTTTCCCTGAACCCCTTCATAAATGTTACTTTGCTCACACTCCAACAGCACGTCAAGTATTAAAAACCATTTGTCTCCATTCACTCCTATCAAACACGCTCACGCATGCCTGCTGGAAATCCAAGCCCCTCGCACACAAAACCTCCTTTACCCCCTCCCTCCAACCCTCCCTAGGCCGACCCCTACCCCGCCTTCCTTTCACTACAGACTGATACACTCTTGAAGTCACTCTGTTTCGCTCCATTCTCTTTACATGTCCGAACCACCTCAATAACCCTTCCTCAGCCCTCTGGACAACAGTTTTGGTAATCCCGCACCTCCTCCTAACTTCCAAACTACGAATTCTCTGCATTATATTCACACCACACATTGCCCTCAGACATGACATCTCCTCTGCCTCCAGCCTTCTCCTCGCTGCAACATTCATCACCCATGCTTCACACCCATATAAGAGCGTTGGTAAAACTATACTCTCATACATTCCCCTCTTTGCCTCCAAGGACAAAGTTCTTTGTCTCCACAGACTCCTAAGTGCACCACTCACCCTTTTCCCCTCATCAATTCTATGATTCACCTCATCTTTCATAGATCCATCCGCTGACACGTCCACTCCCAAATATCTGAATACATTCACCTCCTCAATACTCTCTCCCTCCAATCTGATGTCCAATCTTTCATCACCTAATCTTTTTGTTATCCTCATAACCTTACTTTTTCCTGTATTCACTTTCAATTTTCTTCTTTTGCACACCATACCAAAATTCATCCACCAATCTCTGCAACTTCTCTTCAGAATCTCCATAGAGCACAGTGTCATCAGCAAAGGGCCACTGTGACAACTCCCACTTTATGTGTGATTCTTTATCTTTTAACTCCACGCCTCTTGCCAAGACCCTCGCATTTACTTCTCTTACAACCCCATCTATAAATATATTAAACAACCACGGTGACATCACACATCCTTGTCTAAGGCCTACTTTTACTGGGAAATAATTTCCCTCTTTCCTACATACTCTAACTTGAGCCTCACTATCCTCGTAAAAACTCTTCACTGCTTTCAGTAACCTACCTCCTACACCATACACCTGCAACATCTGCCACATTGCCCCCCTATCCACCCTGTCATACACCTTTTCCAAATCCATAAATGCCACAAAGACCTCTTTAGCCTTATCTAAATACTGTTCACTTATATGTTTCACTGTAAACACCTGGTCCACACACCCCCTACCTTTCCTAAAGCCTCCTTGTTCATCTGCTATCCTATTCTCCGTCTTACTCTTAATTCTTTCAATAATAACTCTACCATACACTTTACCAGGTATACTCAACAGACTTATCCCCCTATAATTTTTGCACTCTCTTTTATCCCCTTTGCCTTTATGCAAAGGAACTATGCATGCTCTCTGCCAATCCCTAGGT